GAATCCAACTTGGTCGTGGTGAATTATCTTATGGATACATTGTTGGATTCTGATAGCTAAAATTTTATTGAGGATTTTTGCATCAGTGTTCATTAGGGAGATTGGCCTATAGTTTTCCTTTTTTTGTTGTCCTTGTTCGGTTTTGGTATTAGTGTAATATTGGTTTCATAGAACGTGTTTGGTATTGTCCCTTCCTTCTCAATTTTTTGGAAGAGTTTGTGAAGATAGGCACTAATTCGTCTCTGAATGTTGGTAGAATTCATTTGTAAATCCATCAGGTCCTGGGCTTTTGTTTTTGGGAGGTTTTTGATTACCATTTCATTTCGCTGCTTGTAATTGGTCTGTTTAGGTGTTCTATTTCTTCTTTATCTAGCTTTGGGTGATTGTAGAGTTGTAGGAATTTGTCCATCTCCTCTAGATTGTTGAACTTGTTTCCATAAACTGTCATAGTAGGTTACTGATTATTCTTTTGATTTCTGCTGTGTCCGTTGTGTTTCTCCTCTTCATTTATGATCCTGTGTATTTGTGCTTCTCCCTTTTTTCCTTTGTGAGCCTGGCTAGGGGTTGTCTATTTTATTTATTTTTTCAAAGAACCAGCTCTGGTTTCATTGATCTTTTGGATTGTTTTTTAGTTTCAATTTCATTTATTTCTGCTTTGGTTTTTATTATTTCTTTTCTTCTACTGGATTTGGGGGTTTTTTGTTGTTCTTTTTCTAGATCTTTGAGCTTCGAGATTAGGTTGTTTCTTTGAGTTCTTTCTTGTTTTTTGATGTGAGCTTCTATTGCTATATATTTTCCTCTTATTACTGCTTTTGCTGCATCCCATACATTTAGGATATTGGTGTCCTCCTTGTCATTCAATTCAAAGAATTTTTTAATTTCTTCTTTGATCTCCTCGTTAGTCCAGTGGTCTTCCAGTAGTGTGGCTTTTAATCTCCATGAGGTAGGATAGTTCCTTGCCTTCTTTTTATGATTTATTTCTAGTTTGATGCCTTTGTGGTCAGAAAAGATGGTTGGTATGATTTCAATCTTGGTGTATCTGTTGATGTTTGTCTTGTGCCCCAGTATGTGATCGATCCTGGAGAATGATCCGTATGCGCTTGAGAAAAATGTGTACTCCGTTTTTTTTGGGTTTAGTGTTCTATAGATGTCTGTTAAGCCCAAATGCTCTAGGTCCTTATTTAGAGCTTTAGTTTCTTTACTTATTTTTGTCTTGTTGATCTATCCATTGTTGATAGTGGTGTGTTGAAGTCTCCCACTACATATGTGTTTTCTCTGATGTCTGTTTTCAGAGAGGACAACAGTTGTCTGATATATTTTGGTGCTCTTTCGTTTGGTGAGTATATGTTAATGAGTGTTATTTCTTCTTGAAGTATTGTCCCCTTAATCATAATGTAGTGACCATTGGGGTCTCTTTTTATTTTTTTGAGTTTGAAGTCTGTTTTATCTGATATAAGTATAGCTGTTCCTGCTTTCTTTTTTGGCCCATTTGCTTGTAGGATTGTTTTCCATCCTTTGACTTTGAGCCTATTTTTATCTTTTGTAGCTAAATGTGTTTCCTGGAGACAGCAAAAGGTTGGGTTTTGTTTCTTAATCCAGGCTGCAACTCTGTGTCTTTTTATTGAAGAGTTTAGTCCATTTACATTTAGAGTTAATATTGATATGTTAGCATCTGTATTTGCCATTATGTTTGTCTTTCCTTTGATTTTATTTATTCTTTTAATAACTTTTTTTTTTTTTTGGTCTTCTTTCGTTGTTATTCGTCCCTCTGAGGTTCTGGCTTTAGGATTCCTTGTAGTATTTTTTGGAGTGGGGTTTATTCGTAATGAAATTCCGGAGTTTCTCTTTGTCTGGGAAGGTCCATATTCTTTCTTCATGGAGGAAAGAGAGCTTTGCGGGATAGAGTATTCTTGGTTGGCATCTGTTTTCTTGGAGTCTGTTGACTATGTCCCTCCACTCTCTCCTTGCCCGTAGTGTTTCTTCAGAGAAGTCTGATGTCAGCCTGATTGTTTTCCTTTGAATGTTATCTGTTTCTTCCCTCTTGTCAGCTTCATTATTTTTTCCTTGTCCTGGATTCTTGGGAGCTTTACTATTATGTGTCTTGCTGTGTTTTTCCTTTCGTCGTGGAAGTTTGGTGTTCTTCTTGCTTCTTGTATATCAATTTTCAGCTCCTTCTTCGCATTTGGGAAGTTCTCTTCAATTATCTCCTGGAATATTTTCTCTGTTCCTACATCTCTCTCCTCTCCTTCTGGAATTCCTATAACTCTTATATTTCCTTTCCTCATGGAGTCAGATAGTTCTCGAAGTCTTTCTTCATTCTTTTTCCTTCGTACTTCTCTTCCTTTTCTGTTTTGGTTCTTTTTATTTCTGTGTCTTCAAGAGAACTTATTCGTTCTTCCATTTCATCAATTCTGCTTTCCTTGCTTTTCCCGGAGTTCTTTAGTTCCTCCATTAATTCTTTGATCTCCTGCATTTCTTTTACTTCCCTCTTTAGGGACTCAATTTCATTCTTCTGACCATTGTTTTCCCTCTTTAGGGACTCAATTTCCTTCTTCTGATCTATCACTTTTTTAATCATGGCAATTTTAAATTCTCTTTCTGGAAGGCTCAGAAGTTCTTCCAAGTTGCTGTCGTTGCAATCTGGGGAGTGGTTTTCTTTTTGTGGTGTGCTTCTTTCCTGAGGAGTTGTTAGGTTGCGTGTGGTTCTACTCCCTACTGTCTGTTTTCTAATTTGTCGTATGCGTTGGGACACTGTGATGCTCGGACTGACTGGCATCTTGGGTGAACTTCTCTGCTCCCCTCTGGCTCTTCCAGGAGCCATCTCTGCCTTCTGGGGGAGCTTTCTGCTGGTTTTAGGCAGTTTTTACTGAAGAAATGTCCCTGTTCTCAAATGGCGAAGCGGGATGCAGTCCCTGCGCCTCCAGTTTCAGGCACACTCTTTTGCGCCCCCGGTCTGCCCCGGACGTGAGTGCCTGCTCCCTCTGTGGGCTCAGACTGCTGGTCGGAAGGGGCCTGGCGTGGAATAACTTCCCGGCTGGCCACTGCAGAAGCCTTCTGCCCTTTTCAAGCAGTCTTAAGAAATTTCCTGTTCTATGGGGTGTTAGTGACTTTTTTTTTCCTGGTCACTAGGTGGCGCCAGAGATCTCGCCTAGTGTCCTTGGGGGCTGTTTTTCGTCCCCCCAACCCCGTGGGACAGGGAGCAGAGCGGGAATGGTAGGGTACACCTCAACAGCTTTGGGGTGCTGTGTCTGCCTTGTGCCCCACCGTCGTGGAGAACCCACGCCCCGAATTTTCGTGCCCCGGGTCTCAGTTCAAAGCCCTCAGTTCCAGGACGCGGGCTGTAGCCCAGTTCAGTGGCGCGGGAATGGCGCCTTTTGCACTGCTCCCGTGCCCAGGTGCCTGGTTCCTGCTCACTCAGGGAGGGACCTTCACCTCAGTGAGGACCTCCATGCGTCTCCCCGCAAGCCTAGGTCGTCTCCCCGCAAGCCTAGGTCGCAGGCGCGGGTACCTGGGCAGCCGCGATTCCGGTCTGCACTTGCTTTTCAAGCTCCCCGAGCGCGCCGCGTTTCCGCGCCAGCTTACCGGCAGCCCGGGCTGTGTGCGCGTCTCCCGGGGTCTTTGTTCTTCTCTATTGGCGCCCGGAGCCGTTCGCTCACCGCCGCGGCGAATCCTGCAGGGTTCGCCTCAGCTCCCGTTCACGGGGTGTGGTGGCTGCAATAGTTCCTTTCCACTCACAGTCCCGCTTGCTGCGTCGTTTGTTCTTTTTGGTTGTTTTGGTTTGTTGTTTCCTCCTCTCTGCCGGTAGGAGAGTGCCGCCTCTATGGGCGGGGGAGGGGAGCAGGGTTCTGCGCTTCCCTCCCTTCTAGTCCTCTTTTATGGCCACTTTCTTCTTCGGGTAGTTTGCT